ATGCATCAGTGTTTGCTTTTCTTTTATCTCCAAATATGTTCATGTGTTCACTTCCAAAACACATACACACACACAATCACATACATATGTGAGATTTGTTTTCCTTTCTAGAAACTGAGCACTCTCTCCTTTTCAGTACACAAACTACAGATCCTAATGCCTTTCAAGACACATCCTGATAAACCCCTTGAAATGTTGAACATCTCCTAAGTCAGTATTCATTTTATGTAATGAACCCACCCCACCATAGCTGGGCAACAAACATGATGAACATGTGTTGGATCATAGAGAGTACCTGTGGTTCAGGACCACTGGGATCTGTGCTCAGATTGGCTAAACTGGGAAAAGATCAAGATTCCAAATTTAGCTGGGTGCCAGTTGCTCAAGCCTGTAACCCTAGCTGATCAGGAGGTTGAGATCTGTAGATCACAGTCCTAAACTAGCCAGTCAGGAGAGTCCATGTGACTCTTATCTCCAATTAACCACCAAAAAGCTGGAAATGGAGCTGTGAGCTCAAGTAGTAAGAGTGCCATCCATAAGCAAGAAAGTTAAGCAAGAATGCAAGGTTCTGAGTTCAAGCCTCAGCATGTACACATGTGCATGTGCGCGCACACACACACACAAAACAGGGAAAAATAGCTTCAGTATTTGGGATCTGTGTAGGAAAAATACAGGCTGGCTAAAATGGTGAAAGGAAATGTGGCAACGTTGTGGATAAATGTCAGGCTTACACAAGCAAGGGAAAAAAAACATTTTGTGGTTTTGCTTTGGCAACTTATTTCTTAATATTCCTGTACACAAGACTGTTTCTTTCAGGACCTATTACTGCAGCTTCTGTCCTTGGCAGGCTGGTTCACAGCCTCTGATAACTCTTCCTTCTTGCCTTCAGCATACTTTAACACATAAACATTTAAAGAAATGCATCAGTAAAAGAGACGAATTTACAAAGGACACCAGGCCTTTCCTGTCAGTGCATTCTTTGACTGAAACCGAACTTACTGCTTCTCCAAAGCAATGAAGGTTTGAGTTGTGTTTGTGATGGGGATGGGCAGGAGGGAAGAAAGGCGAGGCCTGTTTCTCAAAGAGCTTGGGCTTCCATTTGTTTATGTTCATATTTAATACCTCCAGTATTTACACAGCTGAAGAAAAGGAAAGCACCCTGAGAACAGACACCAGGAAGCCCTCTAAAGTTGGTGAACCAGAAACAAACATGAGTTGGAAAGTTCACAAGTGCTATAAATACAAAGTACCCTAGGGCCAGGTGCTAGTAGCTCTCACCTGTAATCCTAGCTTCTCAGGAGGCTGAGATCTGAGGATTGAGGCTCAAAGCCAGCATGGGTCTGAAACTCTTTTCTCCAATTATAGGAAAAAGGCAAGAGTAGAGCTGGATAAAGCACTAGACTTGAGTACAAAAGCTCAAGAATGACACCCAGGTCCTGAGTGTAAAGCTTCTAGACCAGCACCAAACAAAACAACAAATGAACAAAAAGTACCTCAGCCAAAAGAAACTGTCCTTTAGGTTCCAAAGGAAATCAATAAGGAATAGATTATAATCATTATTCTAACAATGGTCAACTTTGCTTCTTTATTTTTTGTCATGTTAATATGAATACAGATCTTTCAGGGCAGTTTAGGAAAGTAGATTTCTCCACAATATAGTGAGAATTCAAAAGAAAGAAAAAAGTCGTTGGGTTGGACAGAACCGATTGATAAACCTATGCCTTCAATTTACAAGTTTGAAGCTTTGGGGATTTTAACTTAATCTCACAGTTTTCCTCATCTGAGAGGAGAACCAAACAGGCCTAGCAAGTATTATCTCAGGGGTAATGATAATGCTTCTTATTTATGGTCTTATTGTATAAGAGGGCTGGCTGCTAACTCATCTGCCTTCCCTTTCTTCCCACGCTGGCCTTGGGAATGGTCTCCATAGCACTGGTCATTAGTTTCTTTCCTGGCTATGGCCAGATGAGGAGGTAGTTCTTTCCCTAGGCCAGACCCTTCTCAGTATAAGAAAAAAGAAACCATCAAAGACATAATAGATGTGTGCTGCCAATTAGGAACAGCAGAACTTTTAATTTAATCAAAGTACATGGTATGCATGCTTGGAAATATCCAAAAGAAATTCCTTTGTACAATTCATAAAGGCTAATGAAATTACCATGAGGAATGAAATGGCTTTTTTTTTAAAGCTAACTAAAGCTCACCTTTCCTTGGACAGCCTGGCTGGAGGTAAGGTGTTTCTAGCATATTTGTTCTTTCCAGCAGGTCTTTCCTTCCATATGACAATCATCACTCACCACCAGTGTGGAAGCCGCCCTGTTTAGGTTTTGCATGCATCAATCTGGAACCAACCTTCAGAAATGAGTTGTGTACTTGGCCAGCACACAGTGGGTTTCTACATCCTGCCCCTCCCAGTCCTGCCCTAATCTCCAGCTAACCCACAACCACCCAATATAGACTGTAAATGGGACAGAGAGAAACACCTAAGTGAAAAACAAGTACTCTGTGAGAGGGAGATCAAGGTAGAACTTGTTTACCTGTTGGTTGAAATGTTCCTGTTTACCTGGGATGAAAATGGCTGCTTTCCATGGGCCCCATGGTGTGGATTTTTAGGACGCAGTATGGCAGCAACCTTAGTTGACTTTTTTCCTTCTATTGTAGCAAATAGTAAAGGAGTTGCCAAAGGAACTGTAAGAAATTTCTAACATTGCTAAATGTAAAATATCCATGACTCCACATAAAGGAATACATAACTACATTTTACAGGTAAGAAAACTAGGAATTTAAAAGACCTGACTAACTGCATGTTACAGCTAATGCTAAAGCCAGGGGGAAAGGGCAATTGAAGGATCTTGAAAGGGAATTTGAATTCATTGGCTTTGCCTAATTTCTTATTGGTTCCTAATGAATAATTCCAAAGCAAATGTTTCTTTAGAAGCATTTGCAAAAATTTAACTTAGGCCTATCATGTTGTACAACCTCAAATGTCCAATTCTATTATTTAGCCCTGAGTCATGTAACCCATTTCAATCTCAATTTTCAAGTGACTATTCATTGATTTTAATCCCATCTCCTCACAAGTGTTTAACATAAACAAGAAAAGACTGGAGTTGTGGCTCAGTGGGAAAGCAACTGCTCAGTAAACACAAGACTCTGAGTTCAAACCCCAGTAATAAATATAAGACTCTGAGTTCAAACCTCAGTACTTCCAAAGTCATGCCAAACTGTAAATTCATTCTATAATTAATCCCTAATCTCTTATTCATTTACTCAATAGACATTGAGTGCTGTCATATATCATCATATATCAGATACAACTGTAAGTACTAAAGATTAAAAAAAAATTAGAAGCCGGCATCGGTGGCTCCTGCCTGTAATCCTAGCTATTCAGGAGGCTGAGCTCTGAGGATCACAGTTTAAAGCCAACTGGGATAAGAAAGACCGTGAGACACTTATCTTCAGTAAACCACTCAGAAAACTGGAAGTGGTGCCGTGGCTCAAGAGGTAGCATGCTCATCTTGAGATGAAGAGCTGAGGGATAGCACCCAGGCCCAAGAGTTCAAGTCCCATAACCAACAAAAAAAACCCCTCAGAGCCCAAGCTCATATGAAGTTCACATGTTAGGAAGATGGATATATCAGATAAATCAATGAGTAGGTAAATGATAGATAAACAATGTTGAAATGTTCCTGTGGCAAAAAATAAATGTTGTCTCCCGGAATCTATCACTTCCTTTTTCAGTAAGTTAACGTTTCAATTTTAATTGTCCACGAAGCCATCCAGGACAAATGACACCATTCCCAATCTCTCTTGAATTGTTATGTGGGGCTACATGACTAAGCTTTGCCCAAGGAGATATAAATAGAAGATGCCTGAACAACACCAAGGCATGTTCTGAAGAGAATCAAGGGTGCCTTGTTCATTACTTCTTTTTCCTACTGCCTAGGAATTAGATGGGTCGAGGAGTCTGTGTTTTAGGGACAATCGAGACAAAAGTTAGAAGGTAAATGAGTCTCTGATAATTTACTCAGTCATACCTTCCCCAGATTCTTTTCCTCTAGATTAGCTTACCTATAAGAGAAAAAAAAACTATCTTTTTAATGTTTCCATTTGAAGAGGATTCTGCATTTTTATGGGTCTTTCATATCGATTAGTACAAAAATATAAAGAAAAGTGAGTGAGGGACCTAGGGTAATATAGCAGACAGGAAGACTGGGAAACATTGCCTGAGGATTTAATATTTGAGCAGAGTCCAAAGTACATGAGAGAGTAAGCTACATGGTTAGAGATTATGCTAGAAAGTAGAAGAGAGAGCAAAGTTCCAGAGGAGGGAACATGCTTGTATGTTCAAAGACCAGCACCTGGCTCAACATTCCCACCATTCCTTCATCCAAAAGCCTTGAAGAGAGAGGTCAGATTTGCACAAACTGTTCTCAGTGGGGATCTCTTCAAAAAGTCTGACCCAGTCAGGAGTCTCAGCGTTCCTACAGTTTCAAAGCCCACAACAGTCCATTTCAAATCACTTGCCCCACTTTATCATCTCACTACTGTCCCTTTCCTATAAGCCTGGCGTAAGTTCTCCCCCTTGCTTGGAGGGCTGGCTCCATCAATCCGTTTAGAACTCTTCTTCTCCTTTCTGGATCTCTATAGATATTATTATCAATATGATTGGATTTTGAAAAAAAATCCATGATTTTGTTCTTGTTCATGTGTATGTCTCTTGTCACCCCTACTGAGCATAAGAATTTTAAAATGTTTTAAAAATCCCTTTTGGTTAGTATCTCCTCAAATAGAAGGTGTTCAGTAAAACATGCCCAAATGAGCATGGATTTCATTCAACCTTCTCACAGACACAATGGAGGGAGCCTAATCTTTCCTGTTCCTCCCTTTCGCCAGGAAGATATGAGTAGCTGAAGTATGTGGAGCTATATATAGTCAGTTGATGTCAGCTGGATGCCAGTCTCTTCAGAAAGCCTCAGTCCCCTGTTTGAGCCAGAGCAAGGGACCATGCCGTCCCAAGTTCAAGGATAAAACCCATCCGGCCCTGGTGCCATCATATTCCATCTCCAGAGTCTTCCTCCACCATTGGGACTCCTCCCTGCTGAAAAGCAGACTAACAGCAAGGTGAGTATATTGTTTCTTACAATGTTTTATTGGTCAGTCGTCCACAGAGGTTCAGAGTTGTGACTCATAAATGAACATTCTTTGCTTTAAGACACAGCTGTTGGTGCCAATAGTAAAATATCATTACCAAAGAGTTCTGATTGAATGTGATGTGCTCTTTCCCTCATACAGTTTGCTGGAATTGCTGAACTGGGATGCTGGTAAATAGGAGCCAGGAAGGAAACAAAGGACAGATTAAAAATAAGCTGTGAAAAGGAGAAAGGGAAAAGAAAGGTGGCCAGCTTTTTCACTGTTTCTCTCTTGCAGCCTAATGGTCATTGTTATTAATGTGCAAGCAACACTGGGTTTGCCACTCCCGGTGTCATTCTCTGTTTATTGAGGCATGGCCTATCAATGAATAGCAATCCCTGTCACTAGCCAAGCAAGGCATGTTAAAGTCTTTCAGTGGAAAACAATAGTGATTCTTCATAAAGAATAAAGACATTCTTCTTCAAAAAGGATCATCATCAGACACCAAGTGAATTCTTCCCATAGCCTCAATAACATCCCCTTTATTTTTTACAGGGCACAAAAGCCATGCTATTACATAGCACCCTGGTGAAGCAGAGGAAGCAGCCAGGATCAGCCATCATGAAGGAAAGCCACAGAAATGGTATCCAGAAAAACCTCATAGCATTAACGTAGCCTGCATGGATACAGATCCCTCCCTGACGTCAATATTCTGTAGTTTCCTTCTTTCAGTCATAAGAAAGCTGGAGCTCTAGGGTGGTGCAGAAAAGTCTATGGTCACTAATCCTTTTGTAGTCCTCCTTTCTTATTTGAAAGCTATTTTCAGACAAACAACTGCTGTAAAAGGAATGAAGCAATCTGACAGCTGATGTACATTCTGTCTGGCTGGCCTTCCACATTATCAGTTAATATCACTCTCGTAACATTGAATTGCTTTGGTTTATGGGATGAGTCTTGAACAAGCTTATCTTTCTTTACTTCACATGCTTTTCAGCTTGATTTTATTTATTTTACAGTTCATAAAAATTTCCAAACGTTCTATCACCCTGTTTTTGTTGTTTTTGTTTTGTACAAAATCTGTTGATTAAATTGACTTTTATAGTCAATGCTTATTTGTTTCAGCCTGAAACCAGAATTTATATTTAGTGACTGATTTACTAATTTGTGTTGTGGGCAAAATCTACTTTTGTTTGTAATTTCTAAGGGAAATTGTCTTTAGAGTTTCAAAACATCAAAACTCCAAAAATTGAATGTATTTTAGAGACAAGATTATTATGATATGGTGAATTTTTTAAATTACCAAATAACCCTAGAAAACAATGCTTTCAACAGTCGCATTTTGACTGTTGAAAGGGAAATTCAATTTTGTTTATAAGCAAACAGTAAAATTATTAGAGAAGTTTAAGCACAAGATCCTTTTCAGGTGGACCTGAACTATTCTAAATATTTCTGTAGAATTTTCTAGATGTCCCATTTCCCCTTTTTGACAAGGAAGGGGATCTCATGATAATGTTGGGATCTCTAGGCAGCATGGGTAGACCCTCTGGAAATGGTTGACTGTGGATCCTGTTGTTAAAATTTTTTTTTTTTGGTCTGGTCATGGGGCTTGAACTCTGGGCCTGGGCGCTGTCCCTCAGCTCTTCAGCTCAAGGCTAGGGCTCTACCACTTGCGCCACTTTCGGCTTTTTTCTTTTTGCTTATGTCATATTGAGGAATCGAACCCAGGGCCTCATGCATGCAAGGCAAGCGCTCTACCACTGAGCCACCTTCCCAGCCCCTAAAATGTTTACTTAAAAAAAAATACAAAATCACAGTCCTGGATTCACCTTATTACAATGTCAAATTAGTTTAGCATAAAATGAGAATAATTCTGAATTAGATGCCAGATCTTTACCAATCCTAAATTCCAAATTCTCAGGGTTTTTTTTTTGTTTGTTTTTGTTTTTAAATCACATGTATCTTTGTGGTTCCAGCTTCAGGTAATTTACTTGGACTTGTCTGTATAGTTTTCCTGGCCAACAAAGAAAAAAAAGAAATAATCACTTGAGATTTTGACTAAAATTATTTACCTTAAAACTAGTCTTAAGATAGTTACATGTGTGTGTGTGTGTGTGTGTGTGTGTGTGTGTGTGTGTGTGTGTGCGTGTGTATGTGTGCTGGTACTGGGGCTTGAACTCAGGATTTAGGTGCAGTCCTTGAGCTTTTATGCTCAAGGCCAGCACTCTATCATTTGGCTTCAAACTTATCCTCAGATCTCAGTCTCCCGAGTAGCTAGGATTACAGGTGTGAACCACTGGGTTTCTGTTAATTTTTTAAATTGAATCAGAATAAAAAAATCATTCAATCAATTTAACATAATCTGTCTAAGTCATATATCCATTAGAGTATATTGTTAGTTCTGCTGAGACCTACAAGGGTGAAAAAGTCTCTTTAAAAATTTTTATAGGAAGTGGCGCTGTAGCTCAAGTGGTAGAGTGCTTGCCTTGAGTTGAAGAGCTGAGGGACAACGCCCAGGCCCAGAGTTCAAGCCCCACGACCGACAAAAAAAAAAAATTATAAACATAACTTCAGAAACATTTAGACTAAAAGAGAATGAAGTATAACAGTGTCCTCTAAATGTGAGGTGGAAATTTAGTTGTAGGGGAAAAAGGCTACAGAGGCTATAGTCTTTGAGCAGAATTTTAAGAAAACCCAGGAAGTAAAAAGGGGGAGCATTCTATCAGATCTCTCATTCCACCAGAAGGAGACAAAACCACAAAGAATCACTGAGAAATTCTGTCCCTAGAGCCTCACTGTGTGGAATATGTTGTAGAGAGGTAGAAAATTCCAAGCTTTGGTAAACTATACTCCAAAGTATTACTGGTATGGATCCTTTACAATTTGGTGATATATCAGAAGCAAATATATCACCACGCACACAAAATTTAAAAAGAATTAAAAACATTAAAAATATCTTTAGCAGGGTACTGGTGGCTCATGCCTATAATTCTAGTTACTGAGGAGACTGAGATCTGAGGGCTGAAGTTCAAAGCCAGCCAGGACAGGAAAGTCCATGAGACTCTTACCACCAATGAAGTGCCAAAATGGCCAGAAGTGGATCTACAGCTCAAGTGGTAGAGTGCTAGCCTTGAGCACAAAAGCAGAGGGATATTGCCCAGGCCCTGAGTTCAGCCCAGGACCACCAACACCATAAAAAATTAAATGTTTTTAAGAATATCACCAAATCTATCTACTAGCAGAATAACCTTCTTATGATGATATTGTAACTCATCGTTATCATCATCTTACTGCAGTGGTAGAGCCGATGGTGAAGCTGCCTTGAGTTACTATGGTGACACAAATCTTGGCTTTGTATAAAAACATCTCAGCCACAGTTGCTAGTATCTAACAACTGTTGTTTTCCAAGACATCCCAAGAAAGCATACTACCATCACCTGTGCACAAACTAGTTGTGGGGGACAAGAAATACTGGCCCATTAGAGTACTTCACCTATTAGCCCGGCTCAAGTTACCCTAAATTTCTATGTGTTTTCCAAGATTTAATCACATTCCACTCTCACTAAGTAACACACTTGAGACTTGAAGGCTAAGGTAGAGGAGTGGGGAAGGAGAAAAGGAGGACCTGTAATGAATTGACAGAGAAAGAAATGGAGCAAACAAATGCGTAAGGAGAGATACTCTGAAGCAATGGACATCTGGTTAGAAATGCTGATAAGGGAACTGGAATTAAAATAACTGTAAGCCAGCCAGGGAGTATTATGTTCCCTATCTTTACACACAGATATTGTTGGTAGATGAGAATAAGGAAGGAGACAAATACCTCAGAAGGCTGATTTCATACTATAGGATTTTTCACACTATAGGCCTTTGTTTTTGTTTCTAACCTGGGTTCCTTTCGGGCTGTTTTCCTCTTGGTATGTTTTTTGGTTCGCTTTTGTTTTTTTCCTCTGACTGGGAAAAAGCTTTCCCAAGCACACAGAGGAGAGCTAGGCAGATTATTTTTCTGTAATTTCAGGAAGAGAGGTTAGCTTTGTAGTCTAAAAACAGGAAGCCAGGTTCTAAACTGAACAGTGTTGTTGAAATGGTACCAGGAGCCCTAGTTCCAGACCTTACCAAAAAGTGTAGAAGGCTAGACTTGCTAAGCAAAAGGTGTAGAAGGCTCGATTTGCTAAGCAAAAAGTGTAGAAGGCTCGATTTGCTTGTAGGACTAATTCTAAGATTCCACAATCCTGATTTACTGAGATCAGTACTGAAGGCAAACATTAGTATTTCTTCAGTAATAAAGGAAATGGTAATATTACATAAATGACAAGGACATTTTGAGAAAGGAGAGAGTGGAAGGCTTTAGAATCTGAGATGGAAGATTCTGTGGAGACTTCTGTGACCTTTCCTGCAAGTCAGATCTTCAGCATCAAAATGAGGCATTTCAGGCAGGTCTGATGTAAATCATATTTTTTAAAAAATCAACGGATAGGTTTGTAAGGGTTATTTGACTTAACTTTTTATACCAGCATTGTCATAATCACAAATGGGGGGAAAATAGAGCCCCAAAAGCTTTCATTTTTATTTTGATGTTATTTATTTTCATTTTTATTTTTGTCAGTTGTAGGGCTTGATCTCTTGGCCTAGGCGCTGTCCCTCAGCATTTCAGCTCAAGACAAGTGCTCTACCACTTGAGCTACAGTGCCACTTCCGCTTTTCTGGTAGTTAATTGGAGATAAGAGTCTCAAGGACTTTCCTGCCTGGACTGGTTTGAACTGTGATCCTCAGATCTCAGCCTCCTGAGTAGCTAGGATTACAGGCATGAGCCATGGGGGGCCCAGCTCATTTTTATTTTGAAAAAGCATATGATTATTTTTTACACATTTCCTACATTCTTTATTTTGACTTATATCAAGTACTTCACAGATTTTCTGAGCATCTTACATTAACATGACCCTTCAGAAAACTAAAACCAGAAAACTAACCTGAATCATATTTTACACAAAAATTGAAATTGCAGTTTTTCATTCTAGATATATTAGCATCCTAGATGATATGTATGTATTTATTTATTTTGTTGTTGTTATTTTATACTGGTACTGGGGCTTGAACTCAGGGCCTGGGTGCTGTCTCTTAGAATTTCTTTCTTTTTTTAAAATTTCTTTTCTTTTATCTTATTTTTTGGCTGTAGGGCTTGAACTCTGGGCTTGGGTACTGTCCCTGAGCTCTTCAGCTCAAGGCGAGTTACTCTACCATTTGAGCCAGAGCACCACTTCCAGTTTTCTGGTGGTTAATTGGAGATAATAGTGTCACAGACTTTCCTGACTGGGCTGCTTTAAACTGTAATCCTCAGATCTCAGTCTCCTAAGTAGATAGGATTACAGTGAGCCACTGGCACTGGCTAGTCTCAGCATTTTTGCTCAAGATTGGAGCTCTACTTCTTGAAACACAGCTCTACTTCTGGCTATTCACTAGTGCATTAGAGATAAGAGTCTCATGGACTTTCCTTTGCTTTGACTCGCTATCCTAAAATCTTAGTCTTTTTTTTTTTTTTTGTCCGTCCTGGGGCCTGAACTCTGGGCCTGTGAGCTGTCCCTCAGCTCTTCAGCTCAAGGCTAGCACTCTACCAGTTGAGCCACAGCATCACTTCGGGCTTTTTCTGCTTATGTGGTGCTGTGGAATCAAACTTAGGGCTTCATGCATGCAAGGCAAGCACTCTACCACTGAGCTACCTTCCCAGCCCAAAAATCTTAGTCTTTTGACTAGATGGTATTATAAGAATGAGCCACTGGTGCTTGGCATCACCCAGTTTTTTTCTTTAAAATAAAATGATGTTCTTTATATACTTTCTATAAGCAGCACTAGATATTCTATTTATATACTTTAATTTGTACAATTCAGTACATTGGCAATCTCATGTCTTGTATGTTCATAGATTTACAAAGTCTCATATTATTTTTATTCATGGCACATTTTAGAAGACTTTATATTATAATTCAAACTGAGACAAAGATATTTGAAATAGGAAAGCAAAGAATCCCAGGTGGATTTTAAATCTTCTATTTAGAAAAAAAGATCAATAGCCGTCTATTTTTGTCCATTATTAGAGACGCAGTCTGAACAATGCTGGTTATGTTATATATGTAAAAATCACTAAAATATGTGTAATAACATACTATACATAATTTAAATATAATTTATATAAATATCAACACATAGGTTATATAATTGTATATTATATAATATATAAGCATATCATATAATACATGTATATTATATGTAATATATAAATTATGCACATTACATTTTAAAGGCATATGATTATTATTCTGACCACATGAGCCAACTGTTTGTTGACTTCTATGCAAGGGCACATAGAATCTCTTTGCTTCTGTAAGATTCTAAATAAATCAATAAGCCCACCCTAAGGCCAAAAAACTGTAGCTAACTCCTCTTTGATGGCTTTATCCATTCTATCAGAGCTGCAGTTGGTCCTCAGACATGGGGAAACAGTTTTAAAAATCTTCAGTCTTACTTCAATTATTTGTGAGTGAGTTAGGTTCACTCTGAATGACAGCAGTAGGAAAGTATGCTTAGCAATATTATTTTCAATAGATGATCTAATGTCACAAAGGCCTCCTTCTAAGTCACGAGGGCAAGGATATGTACCCTGAATAAGACACATCATTTATCAAGTATCAAGATTAAACATACTATGTTTAAAGACCCTGTGCATGGGGCTTGTAGTGAAGGGCAGGGAACAGCTGAACTTGGAATCTATCTTCTCCATGGACATCATTCTTCACTGAAGTTTAAGCAGTGAGAGTGATCATATATTAGATTTCCAATTCACAAATGGTCTTGGAATTCCTGTTTTAGGGATATGATCTAATTTAACTTTTTAAAGGGAAGAGAAAGAAAACTTGGATAATTTATGTATTTTGTTGTTTGCTTATGCAAAGGATGTTGACTTACACAGTACTGACATTGATGGATGTGTCTAGTACAAGAGTAAATATTTAATAACTGATTCTCTGAGAGAAAAATGCTTTGGCCTGTAGAGTCTCCCTATTGCTGTACATAAATACTCCAATGATAGCCAAATAATTTCAAGTAACCACCATAGAAGCACTGAATGTAGAGTTGGGAAGACATGTGCAATAATACAACATTATATGAACAAAACAGTGTTTTCACCATACACCGAAAACAGATTGAAATAACTTCCAGAGCCTCATAGAAAGGAAGTAGCAAGACTCTAAGTAATTATTGCTTTGGTTTTTATGTGATTTATTTAATTATCAAAATTATGTAACTTTTTGTTATTGTTGTTATGGGGCTTGAACTCATGCCTGGGTGCTATCCCTGAGCTTTTTTTGCTCAAGGCTAATGCTCTAAACCATTTTGAGTCACAGCCCCACTTCCAGTTTTCTGGGTTAATTGGAGATAAAAAAAATCTCATGGGCTTTCCTACCTGGGCTGGCTTTGAATTGTGATCCTCAGATCTCAGCCTCCTGAGTAGCTAGGATTACAGGCGTGAGCTCACTGACCTGGCTTGTAACAATCTTAATACTAATGAGTTTCATAATACATTACTGAAAATGTATCAGTCAACTCCTGTGAACCATTACATAGTAACATAACCACAGCATAATAATGAAGGAACTCTATGCTATTGGCAGATAATTCACCCTACCTTCCTGATATCATGCTAATTTATACAAAATATTTTATTTAATTCTTTTGTATATATGTGTGTTTGTCTGTGTGTGTGTGTGTGTGTGTGTGTGTGTGTGTGAGAGAGAGAGAGAGAGAGAGAGAGAATGCTACACCGTTCTTGGGGCTTGAATTCAAGCCCTGTACTCTGTCCCTGAGCTGGTGCTCTAGGCTGGTGCTCTACCACTTCAGCAATACCCCCACTTCTGGCTTTTTGGTGGTTAATTAGAGATAAGAGTCTCTTGGACTTTCCTGCTTGGGCTGGCTTTGAATCATGATCCTTAGATGTTTGCCTCTTGAATAGTTATGATTACAGGCATGAGACCCAGAGCCCAGTTTATTTAATTCTTATATCAACTCTTCATATGAATATTAATACTATTGTTATTAGCTGCAGTTGAGAGATAAGGAAATTGAGGTTGAGTGAAATAAATAACATATATACATATATACACATATGTACATATATACACATTTATACATATATAATATGTATACAATATATGTATATACATATGTTATTTATTTTATCTATCTATCTATGTATATGTGTGTATATATATATATATATGATCATGGAAATATAGCAATGATTGTGCAATTAGCAAGTGATGGAGACAGGATTTAACCCAACACCATCTGATTTAAGAGCTCACAATAGCATTTTACTAGGTAACAAATTATGGAACTTAGAAAACCATTTTAGCCTAGTGCCAGTGGTTCATGCTTGTAATCCTAGCTATTCAGGAGGTTGAGATCTGAGGATCACAGTTCGAAACTAGCCCAGGCAGAAAGTCCCCATAAGACTTTATCTCCAGTTAACCACTCAAAAGCCAAAAATGGTGCTGTGGTTCAAAGTCGTAGGGCACTAGCCTTGGGCAAAAGAGCTCAAGGACAGTATGTAAGTCCTGAGTTCAAGCCTTACTACTGACAAAGAAAGAGAGAGAGGGAGAGGGTGGGGGAAGAAAGAAAGAGGGACAGAGAGAGAGAGAAAGAAGGAAGGAAGAAGGAAGACAGAAGGAAGGAAGGAAGGAAGAAGGAAGGAAGGAAGGAGAGGAAAGGAAAGGAAAGAAAGAAAAAAGAAAGAAAGAAAGAAGAAAACCATTTGCAAATGTTCACTTTGTGGTTTGTCATATATTGGAATGTTGTTTTGCAGATGCAGAGGGCATGGATCTGGGCAAAAAAGTCAGCATCCCCAGAGACATCATGTTGGAAGAACTGTCTCATCTCAGTAATCGTGGTGCCAGACTGTTTAAGATGCGTCAAAGAAGATCTGACAAATATACATTTGAGAATTTCCAATATGAGTCTAGAGCACAAATAAACGTAGGTATAACTTGACCATGTGGCATCTAAATGCATGGGGCGCAGGGTCTACATTTATATGTATGACTAGATTCCCAAACTAGTTATTCTACATACATTCTTTCAGTTGATTCTGGTAGACATTCTATTCTTGATAAGGAATAGTTTAGGTGGATAAACAAAAGAACCATTATATATGATATGAGCATGCTTTCAGTTCAATAGAGACATTGTAAGCATGTAGATCTGGCACTTGAAGAACTGGACTGTTCTGCTCAGAGAAGGGAGAGGGAGTGGAGAGAACTGGTACTAAATGTTTCCATGGTCTTATCGCGACCAGTGAAATGTTTGAGATGGAAACATTTCCAAAGCACACCATGCTCCACAAAGTAAGGCTAAGCATTTTTTAGTTAAATACAATCCCAGTCCTGAAAATGCCTGGGGACCACAGACTCAGCCTGTCTCCTATCAGAGCATGTTTTTCCATCTTGCTTAGGGAAGTCTGGGTCCTAATGATGACAAAGTCAGGGTGCCTAATTCTTTGGACAATGACTCACTGAAAGCTAATGAACAGCAGTAAAAGAATTCTAATAGATTTATTTTATTAATATTATATTCACTTAAACTGTCATTCAGAGCTATCATAGAAAAAGTTGTTCATAATAGGAAGGCAACCAGCTTTGGGAAATTGTTTTAAAAATTAAATACCTGCCAGGGGGGCAGTGGCTCATACTTTGTAATCCTAGCTACTCAGGAGGCTGAGATCTGAGCATCATAGTTTGAAACCAGTCAGGCAGAAAAATCTGTGAGACTCTTATGTCCAATTGACAACCAAAAACAAAACAAAACAAAAGCTGGGAGTGGTAAGTAGTAGTAGTAGTAAAGCACTAGCCTTTAGCACAATAGGCTCAGCAACAATACCCAGGCACTGAGTTCAGCCCCAGGACCTGCATAAGGAAGAAAAAAGTTAAATCCTAAACTAAAATTTGAAGACATGATAGAGATGCCAACAAATGTGGTTTATTTACTGTTTTTCCCTATGCCTAAGAAAGGTTTCTAAGTCCTTAGACAAATGTAAAAAAATAAAGTCCTTTACAAATGTAAACATTAAAATTTACCAGCTACCATCAATAGTGAAGTGTGTGTGTGTGTGTGTGTGTGTGTGTGTGTGTGTGAGTTCGTTCTGGGGCTTAAACTCAGGGCCTGAATGCTGTCACTGAGCTCTTTTGCTCTAGGCTAGCAGTCAGCTACAGCTCCACTTCAGGTTTTTGTTTGTTTTGGTTTTTGTGTGTGTGTGTGGCTAATTGGAGATAAGACCCTCAGGAACCTTCCTGCCTAGGCTGGCTTTGAATCCTGATCCTTAGATCTCAACCTTCTGAGTATGAGCCACAGATGCCTGGCAATAATGAAATATTTTGAATGTTTCATTTCTTTACAAAATATTGAGTTTACTAATTCTTTTACCAGACTTATTGCAAGAAACTATAGAAAATGAGATCCACAACAGCAAAAACAATAGTATTAATTTAAAATATATCCATGTATCTTGACCTGCTTAGTAGTAAGTGTTGAAAGTATATTTTAAATGAAAAATGTTTGGAGCCAGGAATGTAGCTCAGTAGAACACTTATCTGTGCAGCATATGTGAGCGCCTCGCTTCTAGTTCTAGCACTGCGAACATAAAATGTGTTCATATTAATGAGAATTCTTCAACATCTATAGATTAAATCTAATTACAGTTGTGAATCTGGTGAAATATTAAGTCATATATTCACAGTATTTACATATGTGAAGGCTGATTTTTTGCTTGAAGTGGCAGATAAACATAATGTTCTGTGACCCTTAAATTATGCACAGTATCCTTTTTTTTTTTTTTTGCTGATCCTGGGACTTGAACTCAGGGCCTGGGCACTGTCCCTGAGCTTCTTTTGCTCAAAGCTAGCACTCTACCATTTGAGCCACAGCACCACTTCCGTGCTTTTCTATTTAAGTGGTACTGAGAAATCAAACCCAGGGCTTCATGCATGCTTAGGCAAGCACTCTACCACTAAGCCACATTCCCAGCCCTACAGTATCCTCTTATCAGAAAGTATCTGTGACAAATACAGTAAGAGCTGAAAATAATCCTATTCCGGATGACAGTTTGTTATGTAATCATATCCTTTCAATAATGACAACAAAGAAGATGCTTCATAAAATAATACTGGGCAAGGTCATGTCAGGATAGGCTTGCAAAATGATCTATGAGTCTAGACATCTAAGTGAATGAATAGTGCCACTTACAACACTATGAATGAATAGTGACACAACTCTGAGAATACTACACTACCATTCTAAGTAACATACAAGATTTAAAATACCCTGTAGGCTAAACATATTCTTTCCTCACTGTTTTCTGAACTTACTGGCAATCATTTTCTGTGCGAGTAGTCAAAAGTTACAGTTATTCAAAGTGTAAAAAACAAACAAAAACAAAAACTCATGAGAATTCTTCACGATTCCTGGGAAATAGGGCACTGCATAAATCAAATAGTCTCCCAATTTATCTTACAATAAATCAATTTTGACAAGTGAGACAACAATAAATAATAATAAAGTCTTCAATGAAACCACACTACATTGAATTTCCTAATGTAGTCTAAAGTCTGATGAAATCTACTCCCTTCTTCTGAGACGAGGAAAGTAGGATTCAAGGAAATATGTTGATTTGACTTAGGCAACAACATAATAAAAGAGACTGGATCCAGCTGTTAGAATTCTACCATCTTTGGAACCAATGCCTCTCTTGGTGTAAATAAAGGAAACTTTGTCTTGGAAACCAGATAATTACAGTTTGGTCCTGGCACTCCCAACCCACTATGTGATTTGAGGCTACTTTAAACTTTTGTGCCTTTCTGGATTTCTTCTTTGCAAAGCATGAGCTTGGATGTTCTCAAAAGATGCCTTCTGACTTAAACAACCTGCGTTCTCTTAATTCTAATAATTATCTGTACAAGTGCAAGCTACATAATATAATGACACAATCACTTTGTCCACGTTTAGGTTACAACTTGGATCACTGTAAAAATGACAGGATTTTTTTCTTTTTTAATGTTTTTTATTGTAAAAATACTGTACAGAGGGGTTACAGTTACATGAGTAAGGTAATGAGTACATTTCTTATCAAGCAGTTACCTTCTCCTTTGTTTTTTCCCTACCATCTCTCTTCCCTCCCCACCTCCCTAACACCTCCCCACCCCAGCCAAGTTGTAAAGTTTGTTGTCAACATAGTGTCTTATACATCTCATTGTTACAATGGGTCAACCTGTATCCTTATTTCAACATTTTGTTATTTCCCTTCCCCTCCCCAAATTAGAAAAATATATATACAAGATGCAGGGCACCGACATCAAATACAGTGAAAACAGGGATTATACTGTGGGAGAAGAACATACAAGAGAAACAAAATGGGTAAATGCCCAAAAGTGGGATTGCTGGGTCATAGTTGAGTTCTATGTGGAGTCTTTTGAGGAACCTCCATACTGCTTTCCAAAGTGGTTGAACAAGTTTACACTCCCACCAACAATGCAATAGGGTTCCCTTCTG